TGAATCAGAAGTTAAGAAAAATAAATGTAATAAACTGGTCCTTCCAGTTGCAGTTTCCACAAGCATCAGGCTTGTGCCAGGCTTCCCCAAACTCCCGCCCTCCAGATGTTGCTGAACTACAACTCCCATGATTCTATGAATGAAATAGATAGGCTGAGAATCATGGGAGTTGTAGTTCAGCAACATCTGGAGGGCCAGAGTTTGAGGAAGCCTGCTTTAAGCCATTCTGTTACATTAAAGGAACACTATAGTCACCAAAATAACTTTAGCTTAATGAAGCAGTTTTGGTGTATAGATAATGCGTCTGAAGTGTCACTGCTCAATTCTCTGCCATTTTGAAAATGTTACTTTAATCACATACAGGAGGCTCCTGCTAGGTCTAGCAAGCTCATAACAGTGCTGGAGATAACTTCTAAATTAAACAGACTGTGCAATAAAGGTGTAAACATTAAATGTAACTTTACAGGGAGTGTTTGGAAGGCCAAGTCACATGCAGGAGGTGTGACTAGGGCTGTACAAAGTAATTTAACTCCTAAATGGCAGATAATTGAGCAGTGAGACTGCAGGGACATATGTACAAAAAAAACCTTCTTGATTTAGCTAAAGTTAATTGGTAACTATAGTATCTTTAAGATGCCTCCTAAGACTCCACAACTCTGTTATGGCAAATTATTACATTAAATTAATATAATTCAAGTATGTGCCTACATCCCTGGACAAATGTAAATCTAGACCTTATTTACTGTTTACTAAATATATTAAGGAAATGCTGAGTTTAGGCTTTACCCCTTAAGGATCAATATCATCATATCGTATAATCACAAACCAACTCTTACAGACTGTTTGTTGTTTGGAATAACCTGCTTGGTTAGATTTAGGCATTCTTTACAGACCAACTAATGTTAAAGGGCCACTATAGTGTCAGGAAAGCAAGCCAGTTTAAAACCCCTTCAGCCACTTACCTTTATCCAGCGCCGGGCTCCCTCTCCTCCCCTTCCGACGTCAGCTCCCGAGTGGAGCCGCGCGTATTAAAAACGCCCATAGGAAAGCATTTTTCAATGCTTTCCTATGGACGTTCTGCATGCCCAATGCGATTTTTGCATTGAGCGTCGGGGAAGTGCCTCTAGCGGCTGTCAAGAAGACAGCTATTATAGGCTGGATTAACCCTGCAATGTAAACATAGCAGTTTCTCTGAAACTGCTATGTTTACATCTGAAGGGTTAAAATCTGGGGGACCTGGCACCCAGACCACTTCATTGAGCTGAAGTAGTCTGGGTGACTATAGTGGTCCTTTAAATTATTGTAATGTTTGATGCTTCTATAAGGTCACATTGTTTTACAAGAGTTGGGGCTTGCTCTACTATATAATGACAATTAAAAGAACAGTAAATGTTTACTCTTTCTGGATACATGAATCAAATTATGTATAACTACTGTTTTGACCTAATGTGGTTGATGTTTGTCAGGAATTTCGTCAGGAATTATTTGCAAAACCCGGCCATTGTTGGGAATACAAGCTCTGTCAGAATGCTCAGTAAAAGGCATCAAGCTTGTTGAAAGAACAAAAATACAGGAGCATATGTATAAAGAGTAATCTAGGGCAAAGTTCTAAAAGTGGAAAAAGCAATTGTCATGGAAACCAATTTAATGACACTTCTGATTGCTCCAGTTTTAAAAGCTCGCTCAGATTATAATTTTTTTGCATCTGAAACTCAGTAGAGTGAGCGTATAGGGTGGGCTCTGTCTATATAAAATACAGGTCGAGATCCTTTGTACATATTTATATATAATGCTGTGCATGTTTAAACATTTGACATGTTGTATATTAGTTGCACATTTTATACAATTAGAAGTATGTGCAGAAATATAACTCTCTTGGGTTAACAGAACTACAGCACTTGCCAACACAGTAGTAAGGTATCATGTGTTCCATTAAATCCAATTAACAGTTTATTAAAGAAATGTGAGGAATCTTAATTATTTGCAATCGAGGGACAAAATTCATTAGAGATTTAATCATGCTTAGAAAATTTACATGATTAACACTAGAACGCTATAGTAAAGAACCGTATTACTGTTAATAGGCCAAAAAAGGCTTCTGGGATATTCTTTTATTGGTAAAAAGATGTAATAATGCAACAATAGGTTTATTTGTTTTTTAGAATTTGAGGTGAATACATTAAATGACTTTCCAGCGGTACTAAAAAAAAAATAATAAGACACATATGGGTTATGGGCAAAAAAAGACAGGGTAATGGATTCTTACTTACCAGAAAATTTGATGATAATATAAAAAAATGATGTACTACTCAAAATAATATCTATTTTTTGCATAGCGCTTTTGTCCCCAAGGGGGCTAAATATTGCTTTCCTCATGCTCTTGGGTATAACTAAAGCAGCAGCTCATGTTATCAACTTCAGAAGGATAAAGTAGTGAGTTAATGCTGCTGAAAATATATACCATATAAATGTGTAGCACACTATTGTATAAATTACTAAGTGGCACTATATGGAAATATACCATTCTCCATTCTGCTAATTTACATATTGCATTATTAATATTCTATTCATTGTATTTAAAAATTACAAACCTGTTATGCAGCGCTGTTCGTTAAGTTAACAAACCAACACGAAAGTAAATGAGAATAAATGAATGGAAAACAATTAGCTTATATCATTCTTGCTTAAAGAAAATGAAGCTATATATTAATCAATCTGCAAAACGTTTGGGATATTACAACTTCAATGACGAAATGACATCTGGTGGGAGCATCCTAATACATCAGTCTTGAGTGGCACATTATCTTGGTGATCCTAATACATCAGTCTTGAGTGGCACATTATCTTGGTGATGTCAAGTTATGGGGCAGATGGGACATCACAATGTAATTCAATGTTTCCCTTGCCTCCAGTTCTGCTAGCAGATATGGCTGCAACAACAAAAACAAACAAAGAAAGGATAGCCAAAAATAACAAGCTCTCAGAATCCAAAGGGCAAAGTCTAAACCACTGGGTACAACAACAAACAGGGGGAAAGAGTCAAGAACAATACACACCTTATGAGTTACAGACCTACAGGTGCTTACACATAGCAGATATGGCTGTACAGCTATTGTTGGGTTATACTTCCCATAATTCCCTTCTGGTCAAATAAATAAAAAAATCCATTATATAATGTTCTGTATCAGTAAAAGACCAGAGGTTGATTAGTCCAGGTCTCAAGAGTATACATCATCCACCTTTGCCTGGAAGATCAAGACTTGTGATGATGTTAACACAGACTTAATTCACTAGTGTCACTTTCTGTTACAGTCTACAGATCATTTCTGGCCTTGGCTTCTGATATCCAGTACTCTTTTTACAATTCTTGTTTAGTTTTTCTTTTCTGGTTTTCTATTCTATGTCTGGTTTTCTTTATGCTGGGGTTTCTGGGTTCATTCCTTTATTCCGTTCCTGGAATTCAGTCTCCTGGATTCCTTTAAATGTTTGTTTTTTGTTGCCACACCTATTCCTTTGCCATCCTTTGCCATGTATCCTTTTGTTTCAATGTGTTCCAGTGGTCTCATTCCTCTGCTCCTTTCCTTGCAGGTAATACTGTGTGTGTTTTATTGTTTTACTTTTAGTCATGCATATCTAGGCAGTTACGACCCACCGTAATTGGAGTACTTTTGGTGCAGTGGTGGGCTGCATACATCCTGGCCGTTTATGTATGTCTACATCGCCAATGTTTATTATATATATATATATATATAGTACTTAGTTATTTCTCCTCTTGTTTTGCCTTGTATATCTTGTCTTGTTTTATGTTGTCTTGTTGTCTGTATTCCCAGTTCATGTACAGTACTGCCCTGTCCATGTCCTGTTCTTGTTTCCCTCTTGTCTTGTGTACATGTTCTGCTTTCTGTCTTGCTCCGGTTCTGGGTTCATCTAGTCTTGTTTTATTTTGTTTAGAGCCTATTCTAGTCTTGCCTTGTTTCTAGTACTGGGCACATATCTGCAATATATCTAGCTCCTGGGATTCGCAGAAGCTGCATCGATACCCTGGCATGTGGTCGCACAAATCCTGGTGCTCAACACCAGGGGGCATGTGGTTACCCTGCACCAGTCCCTGATAGTTCATTTCCACGCTGTGACTCCTACCATCATCCGGCATACAGGGTTTCGGTCTCCGGACCACCACCTTGACAACTGGGTGTAATCTGGCAGTAAACAATACTAAAAAAAATATATAGTTATACATCCCCCTAATCAGACATGTAAAGAATCATAGAAAATGTATGGCAAAAAAGTGTAATAGTGCTCTTCTTTAACCGTACTTTAACACATGTGGTGATTTGCTAGCTTTTAAACATTTTAATTTGACTATCTTACACATCAATATTAATGGCAAATTGTGCTTCACATATGACAATCTCCTACAGTTATCTCTACAATAAATCAACTTTCATCTGTTGACAACTAGCAAGTTTGATCACTTTTCTGTTCTTATAATCCATACATTGCAAAATCTTATAGTCCCGTTATGCACATTATTTTATCCTCTAATTAATGAGCAATGGGGGTGGCACCAACTACCACATTTTCTGAATGGGGTGGGTTTATCTCATGTGGTCACAAAACAAATGAAATTCAGAGAATGTAAAACACAAAATTAAAAATAAACAAAGTATCCATCAAAAAGTATGTACTTGAATTACAATAGCAATCAAAGCAACATTAGCACCTATCTTTATTTCTTGTTTTAACTAATAAACCAAATCTATTTTTTTTTTGTTTCTTTTTTTTTTTAACAAGGATATTCCTACCTTGATACTCAAAGCCCTTTTTCCTTTTAGCATTTTCCTCACCTGGTGTCACTCTTGTCATACATGAGTTATACGCTATTCATCTACACAAAACACTGCGAGAACCTGGACTAGAGTCACACCAGGTGAAGAAAATGAAAGAAGGAAAGGGCTTTGTGTACAAAAGAAGACTTATTTTATAAGCCCAATCAAAGTGTTACGCATATAGCTTCTTTTTGTTGGCATCAATAAAGCACAATTACTCCCAACAGTCGTGCTTTTGGCAGAAAAGTTATGATTTCGGGGTACTGTCCTGCCGTACTGATTTACTTGGTTTCTCACATCTGGGGACACCAGGTAAGTGTCCTTGGGCATCACAGAATCTGCACATCATTAGACACGCTCACACTGTTCAGCGGACACTAGGTCTAAGCAGGGTGCATTTCCGCAGCTTCAGCAGCTCTCTACTTGGTCTTGCAAGTGCATGATGCCTCACAGTGGATGGTCCACTTCCCAGGTGAGATCAACCATTATGGATGTCAGCAGTGATGCAAGTTAGAAGGCCCATTGTTGAAAGGTATAAAACGCCATTTATACACAACCTTTAGTGAATGTCTTAAAAGTAAGCAAATATTTTGGAAAATGCATGAGGTAAAGCTTCCTGAATACATGGCTGTATATAAGAAGAGGAATTTGTTTTTGGAATTATGCTAACACAAGTTTATTGATCATTTCTAAGACCTCAACTAGAATTTTGGAAAGATATAAATAATTTATATAGAGAAAATGTAAAGAGGCTTACAAATTACAAATACTGCAATAGACATGAATATCCAAAGAGACCATATACCATAAATATGTATAGCTTGCACATAAGATAACAGTAACAGCACAGCAATGTATAGATATGTCAAGGGATTTATCAAAGTAAATAGGGTGCCATTTAGTGCACAAAGGGAATCGTACAGAAAGAGTACATAACCTGATGTTTCGAGGTTTAAATGTATGTGGAATGTCTCAAAATAGTTTTTTTCATAGAAAGTGTTATATGTAGAAATAGTGCACCAGCAGAGGGGTTAAATATTAAAAAGTGAAATAGTTAATAAAGTGAAATAGTTCATAGAGACTCGAAACAGACATAGTGCTGCCCTGATAAAGACATAAAAGGAGAATAAGGAAGGTCTATGCTTTTCAATAAGAAATTGTCATACTAGATAGGCCAGTCAGCGTTTGTTTGCCATCAAAATATGTTCTCAATCAATGTGTGTCACACATGATTATAAATAAAGGATGGAATAACAACATTATCAACCTAGTAACTAAATTGTTTAGATTTTTTTTTATTGTTGTTGCATGCAACTAGTGACTGATTAGAAACACAAACTGTTTGTTAATTAGTGGTATCAAATGTCAACTGGTCTCCACACTTATTAGATTGATAATTAGTCACCAGCATTTATCAATAGACATGTGAACTGAATAGCAATGGACCTATGTATACGATGCTTGTGTATTTGTACAGTGACAGTTAATTGATCCTAGTTTCAGTGCTCACATGTTAAATACAGCTGTGTCAATACTCGAGACAAGTAAATTGATTGAGAAAGTCTGAATTTTTTATAGAAAACCTTATTAGGGAATTCTGTATCCAGTATTTATCAATACGTTTCCCATTGCTGATAAAACGTAAACAATGTTGACGCAATCAAAATCCTCTTGTTATGATTCTTTTTTTACACTTTTACCAGTATTAGACTGATCCAAAATGGTCCTATACTTTATGTTAAACATTCAACATTTACCGATCACAATCCTGATGAAGCGTAGTTATTAACACTTTAATTGGATCATCTGTGATGATTTTGTGCAATAAAAAACACTACAAACACCTCCACTAAGTTGATGAGGTGCACAAGCAACAATAACTAGCAATTGCTTATTAGTCAATTAAAAAAACAAACACAAAATCAATAACATAACAAATATGAATGTACATAGTACTTGAAAATTATATAAACATCTTAAAGGAAGATGTATGATTGACAGGCAGCCAGGCTGACGTGTCAATGCTTCAAGTCTACAGGCACCTTTTCCAGACAGGTCTGCCCGTTGGACAATATTAGTAGCTCAATTCGTGTCACTGGCCTCGTCCCATTCCACCGGCGTCCCACTTTCGACAGATATGGGGACATAATGGATTAATTACTCACCTGTCACCTAACCTTGAATGTTACATATTTTGAAACCTTACAACATGGCCTGCTATGATCAACATTGCAAAATTAGGCCTGGGTTGAAGACAATAACATTTCCTGACTTCAGATAAATGGTTTGTGAAATTTTGATTGTCATTACATTGGTATCTGTTGCACAGTGCCAGCTGAAAATCAGAAAAAAATACTCCGTTATCAAGCTAAATTGTAATTTATTCCTATGTTCTGCAAGTCCCAAATCATGTTTTTAACAAGTGGTTAAATTTAAAAATTTGCTCTTTGTCAACAAATTTGAATATATTATTTAAGTTGATAGCGTTTAAAGGTCCAATCCAACTCACACCTTAATATTTCACTGAGAAATACTCAGATGTTCCACTGACAGGGGCCTCCACACCTGGAATTTCATCATGGAACTTGTTTCATTGGTTTCCCACCTCCCTCCTCCATCTCTTTAGGTATCACTAGATCACCATATCATTTGCTGCTTACTGCAAACACAACACATGTACGGTGCCCCCACTGGCCTTCAAACAACTCTAAACCCAAACATCCCAGAATATAGTATCTCTGTATAGGTTGTGATGATCACACCCAATGATGGTGTTCTCCTTGAATATTTCCCTTAAATATTGGTAACATGTTTCAAACACACCTGTGTAGTCTAAGGTAAGTGGCTACTGAGCTCTCAGGTACTAATTAAAGTACGGCACACCTGACTAATATTTAGTATGCACCTTCCTGACTTCCTGATCTGGTGACCAAGTCCTGGTTGTAGAATTTGCACAGATTTCTACTACCAGTACACCATAACAGTCTTATACTATATTATGATAAGTAGAAGAAATGTGTTTATCACAGTGCATTTAGCCCATGCAATATGAGACACAAGGTGAGAGCTGTGTGTTGGATTTTACTGGGAAAAAATATAAATACACAAGAATGTAGTACTGTTCAAACCTAGGTTGCTAGTTCCCAATGGAGCCAAATCAGTCTTCCATTGCTTGTTAGGTAGATGACATAAGTACTATTAATATACTTGCTAACACTGTAGGAACAAAGGGTCTGCTGTGGGGGTACACTGGTGATACAATATAAACACGCAACGTTCTAGTTGTGTATTAAAGGGGTAGGCGTGCATGCAGGGTTAATAAGTTGCCCTTTTAAGGTGACTTTATTGCCTGTTCTGGGGAACCTGGCAAAAAGAAAAACATGACGTGTTATGGGCCAAAAATTTGGATTACCTTGCCAAATTTGTTACTGCCAACAAATCTGAAGCTGCTGCATTTGTAATTTTCACACATTATATTTGTCTACCTTTAAATGATAGCTGAATTTTTATTTACCGGAGTAAGTAACCCAGGATAAAAAATCAACATATTTTATGCACCATATGTGTACGTGTATATATGTTTTGCATAAAAATACTTAAATAGATTTTTTTTTTTATTAAAGCCCAAGGTATAAGTGACTTTTTGCTGCTTACGCTTGAACAAGTCACTATAGACACCCTTGACCAGTCCTCAGGTCCCTGTGTTATTACCATTAGCATGTTTCCTCCCTTTTCATATACTTACTAAATTATTGGGATTCCACCTATCCTCTCATTGGTTTATATTTTATATTGGAAGGGGATGTTAAAGTGAAGACACTGCATTATATTTTTCTTGCCTGAACGTTTATGAAAAAGTGCATTGTTTTGCATAGAATTGAGCAGATAGGATGATATACAAGTGATTTACAGCTTGTGACATTAGACTAGTCACAATGATTTCTCAGGCAAGAAAACTATTCCAATCCTCCATGCCTGGCCATTGTTAGAGAGGGGTATTAATATCCTGGAGGAAACGCTATATGGAGGGGCATTCTGTCACTATAAATTCACAAGCTCACTGATCTCCATTGAATGCAATTTGCTAAGTGCAGTGACTTTGAACAACATTCCACTGAACATTTGTTAATGTATTATTTTATTCAAGTCTGAATTTTGACATTTCCTCTATGAGATTACCATTTAATCACGTGAAACTAGATACATTTGTCATTTATTTGCTATTTTAGAAAATTAAAAGATATGAATTCATATAAGGGATTTAAACAGAAAATGATCTGCTGTGTGAAAGTTTTTAGTAAGAAGAGCTGTCTCCGTGTCTTATGCATAAATTAATCGTTTGACTTTACCACTGTGTACTTTCCACTCTCAATGTATTTTATTACCGACTGCTGTCATAGCAAAAATAAAGAATTTGAAATAAATAAGTTAATAATATTGATAGTTCAAACAGATTATAATATAATTGTGCTATGAACTGTAGCTCCCAAGATGATCGGCCAGTGTACAGCCTGGTAAAGAGAATAGACGTTTAACCCATACCTAACTTCCCCAATGAGTGGCATTGTTCTAAAAGTCACAGTAGTTAATTATGGTTTATTATGAATATAAAGGCAATACTTTGTCACTACAAATTCTGTCCACATTGGAAACTCTAGATTTTAAATTGAAATTCCAAATGCATGCTAATGTCCATCTGGGGAGGACCACCTGGCACCATAATAACTTAAATAGGGACACTATTGTAACCAAAACAACTTTAGCTTAATGAAGCAGTGTTGTTGTATAGATCATGATCCTGTAGTCTCACTGCTCAATTCCATGCCTCCCTGCATGTGAGTTACACATCCTTCCTTCCTAAAATCTTCCGGTAAAGTGACATCCAATGTTTACACTTCCTTTATTTCACAGTCTGTTTTATTTAAGATATCTTAGCTACTGCACTGTTAATAGCTTACTAGACCTTTCAAGAGAACCCTGTGTGTGTGGTTAAAGTTCAATTTACACAGCAGAAGACAAAAACTTCTAAATTTAGTTAACAACCTGATTGAGAGTCACAGCCAGGGGAGGTGTGAGTAGGGCTGAATAAACAGAAACAAAAGTGATTTAACTTCCAAATTGCAGAGAATTTAGCAGTGAGACTGCAGGGGCACGATCTATACACCAAAATCATTCCATTAAGCTAAAGTTGTTTTGGTTACTACAGTGTCACTTTAATTCTGGTGAAGCTGTTATGGTGCCCTGAATGTTCCTTTAAGGGGCATGTCAACTAGACACCATACATTATGAAATTGCTATATTGCCCAGAGTGTTCCTTTGATGGGGCAAGCAAACTAGTCACCATATATTACAGTTTTTGCCTGATAATACCG